TAGGAGTTATAATTTATGATGGCAGACATATAATGGAATGGATAGACTCCTTACGCTACAGATCTCAATAGGTACTGTGCAGTGAGAGGAGTGGAGAGATGTTTTTTGTTAAACTACCTGGGAAAGTTCTTCTTGGCACAGGAAGCGAGAGAGAGCCACTCTGATTGATTATTCACCTGCCAGTGGGAGACCATACCAGTGGAGATCCAAGCCTGTGACACTCAGGGGCACCGCAGCACCACTTATGTCACAGCACCTATACTGCTGCTCCAGGGAGACTGGAGCATCTGCTCACCCTCTGCTTCCCATCACTGATCACCAGAAGCCTTCAGGAAAGACCGAGGGGACCCCCCTTCTATAGTGAGAGGTCGCCACAGCATCCTGGGAACTGATGAGAGGGCTATTCACCCATTGGTGATACTGCTAGCAGGGACTGAGTCACCAAGTGTATCTAATCCGTATTGCACCCATACTGCACTCTATACTGCATGTATTCCATATACCACATTATACCGAACCTTTACAGCATCTGAATCACAGCCAAATGTGCAGAGACTATGCCGTAACTTGGACTGTTATTAGGTGCACCAACGCTCCTAAAGGACCCCAGCGATAGCTGGTAGAAGAACATCCCAAAGGACTGCCTCACATGTGATAATTATTCCGCAAGTCCTCTTTGTACCCCCACCCAATCCTCCTTTTCTTTTGGACAGTGCATATCCAGTGCATATCGGTCGAGGAGTAGCATGACCACCGTAAATGGATTCTGGCAGTATAGTTCCAGCACTCAGTAGATTAGACTGTACTATTGCACACTGCTGCACTTGAGATGGCCTTTCCATTGTTTCTGCTGATCTGAATGCCAAATGTCATCTTATGCCTTAGTTCCTACTGTTAATCAAATTGTACGCCAGATTGTGTTATTACCATTTTTAATCCATTGTTTGCTTTCCTAGTTACTAACCATAGTAGGTGACAATGTATAAGTATGCTTTTACTGTCTGGTTTGGTGCCTGTTTTCTTTAATATAGCGCTACTACTGGGTACTAAGTATTACCTTCAGCGATTTCTTATGATATTGTATATTTATACACTCAACCTGGTGTATTAGAGGGGCTGTGGTTTTTTGAAAAAGCTCAAGGCAAAGAACAAAGGACCCATTCTCATCAGTGTCTCCTCCTGGTGTAGTGCTACAGGGGCTCAAAAGCCCACTACATGACAGCATTGGGCAGGTGACAGGGACTCTTTATGGAGATATCAGAGGTCTGTGTGAAGCCTATTGTCTCCCATGCCCTTTGCTCCAGTGGATTGAGTATAGAACTATGCTCAGTCTGCTTTTTTTACCTGGCTTTCCAAGCTCTGAACCCAGAACTGCTCAGAGCTGATTGATTCCAGATTCACACTCAGCAGAAGCAATTGAGGAATAGAAGTTCTCTAATCTCCCTACATTCTCCATCCTAACATTGTTGTGGTCCTGGGCTCCTGGGAAAAGCAGGGGAGCCCAGAAACCATGGAGCAGGGGGAGGTCACACCCACAAGTTTTATAAAAGTGATCTATGTGTCAGGGATCCGGGTATGACCAGAAATGTGTGGGAACACAGGCGTAGTCAGGGCTGGAGAGGTGGAATGGTCAGGCACGCCGTTTGGTACTGTTAAGCACCGCCTGGCGGCGTCTCTAGCAGCCCACAGCACGGGGTTCCTCAGGGAGCGGGGTCTAAGTCCCAATCTGGTTATTCACCAGGGCCCCTGATGGTGGGGATGGACTTGGAGCAGACTGAGACCAGGTCGCGACCCCTGAGTACGTCCAACAATGGTAGAGAGCGTCGTCAGAGGTGTGCGGGAAAAGGAGCCCGACGTGAAGAGGCTGGTAGACCTGGTAACAGGGACAGGTCCGTGCGGGATGGATGGATCGTCTGGGTAGCGTAAGGTGTAGTCAGGCAGGCCAGGTCAGCAACGTGTGGGCAGCGAGGTACCGGAGGAGCAGGCAGAGAATGGTCAGGGTCACAAGCCGGGTTCAGTAACTCACGGGCAGCGTAGTACAGAGGATCAGGCAGAAGGATGGTCAGGCAAGCCAGGGGTTAAACAGGAGACGGTCACCAAAGGTCAGGATCAAAGCAGGGTCAGCAACAAATCAGGTAGGCAGATATACAGGAACACAGGATACCAGGTACAGGGACTCATGGGAAACAATACACCAAGGCACTGACTGCAGGCCTAGTCCTGCTTAAATACACCTCCTGCAATCAGCCTCAGGTGATGGCTTGATTGCAGGAGTGAGATTCTGGCTGCTGAGAGCACCCGCTGGCCAGCCTTGATACTGCAGCCCACAAGGCAGGTGAGTCCCACCACCATTGGCGAGTCCATTCCTGACACTATGGCTCTACAGCCACCCATGTCACTTTTACATTAAAGTCCTAAGTACAATGCAGAAAACTGAAACCAGCTCACATCTGCTACTACAGCCGTGAGTTTGGTTTAACTTCTTCAGACTCTGGATGTGCTAGACAAGTCCAGAGAGGGGAAGAGCCTATTGATGTATTAGTTAATACAGAATATTACTTATGGATTGATTTTTGCTTTTTCTGCTTGAAGCTTGAAGTGAAGATATGCCTTAAAGTGTCACTAAACCCACAATAGTACAATCAGTCTGTAGATGCAGTAAAGCATGCTTGTTATACTCACTGTGGAACCTACGGGGTTAATCCTCTGCAATGTGTCTTCTCTGTCACTTCCCTTTTTCAAGCAACCACCTCTTATCTCCTAATAAGACAGACTGAACCGTAGGCATTTTGCACATGCTCAGTTTGGTGTGTATTGCTAGAAAGGTTTTTTTTTTTTCTAGGGAGAGTGCATGTAATCAGCACCAGGTCAATCAGCACTGGTCAGACAGAGGTCAGGGGTATTGCATCCTCCTAGAGCAGAAAGAAAACTCCTCCTACAAGCTTTAGATAGTGCTGGGCTGAACACTGATAGAAGTCACAAGACTGCTCTAACTGCTAATGAGAAGGTATTTAGCAGTTTATATTTACTAAAATAATTGCATTTTCATGTTGTGTGTACTGTGGGAGAGCAGATATAGTGAATGCAGGGTCCGGGGAGACCAGATATAGTGAATGCAGGGTCCGGGGAAAGCGGATATAATGAATGCAGGGTCCTGGGAGACCAGATATAGTGAATGCAGGGCAGGGTCTGGGGAGAGCAGATATAGTGAATGCAGGGTCCGAGGAGACCAGATATAGTGAATGCAGGGTCCAGAGAGACCAGATATAGTGAATGCAAGGTCCGGGGAGACCAGATATAATGAATTCAGGGTCTGAGGAGACCAGATATAGTGAATGCAGGGTCCAGAGAGACCAGATTTATGAATAGTGAATGCAAGGGTCCGGGGAGACCAGATATAGTGAATTCAGGGTCCTGGATGACCAGATATAGTGAATGCAGGGTCCGGGAGACCAGATCTAGTGAATGCAGGGTCCGGGGAGACCAAATATAATGAATTCAGGGTCCCTGGGTCCGAGTGAATGGGACCAGATATAGTGAATGCAGGGTCCAGAGAGACCAGATATAGTAAATGCAGGGTCCGGGGAGACCAGATATAGTGAATGCAGGGTCCTGGGAGACCAGATATAGTGAATGCAGGGTCCTGGGAGACCAGATATAGTGAATGCAGGGTCCAGGGAGACCAGATATAGTGAATGCGGGGTCCGGGGAGACCAGATATAGTAATGCAGGGAATGCGGAGTCAAAGTTTGGGGAGACCAGATATAGTGAATGCAGGGTCCTGGGAGACCAGATATAGTGAATGCAGGTCCAGAGAGACCAGATATAGTGAGTGCAGGGTTCGGGGAGACCGAATATAGTTAATGCAGGGTCCAGGAGACCAGATATAGTGAATGCAGGGTCCGGGGAGACCAGATATAATGAATTCAGGGTCCGGGGAGACCAGATATAGTGAATGCAGGGTCCAGAGAGACCAGATATAGTGAAGTGCAGGGTTCGGGGAGACCGAATATAGTTAATGCAGGGTCCAGAGAGACCAGATATAGTGAATGCAGGGTCCTGGAGACCAGATATAATGAATTCAGGGTCCGAGGAGACCAGATATAGTGAATGCAGGGTCCAGAGAGACCAGATATAGTGAATGCATGGGTTTGGGGAGACCGGATATAGTGAATGCAAGGTCCTGGAATACCAGATATAGTGAATGCGGGGTTCGGGGAGACCAGATATAGTGAATGCAGGGTCCTGGGGAGACCAGATATAGTGAATGCAGGGCCCGGGGAGACCAGATATAGTGAATGCAGGGTCCTGGGAGACCAGATATAGTAAATGCAGGGTCCTGGAAGACCAGATATAGTGAATGCAGGGTTCGAGGAGACCAGATATAATGAATGTAGGGTCCATGGGAGACCAGATATGGTGAATTCAGGGTCCTGGAAGACAAGATATAGTGAATGCAGGTTTCGGGGAGACCGGATATAGTGAATGCAGGGTCCAGAGAGACCAGATATAGTGAATACAAAGTTTGGGGAGAGCAGATTTAGTGAATGCAGGGTCCGGGGAGACCAGATATAGTGAATGCAGAGTCCTGGAAGACCAGATATAGTGAATGCGGGGTTCGGGGAGACCAGATATAGTGAATGCAGGGTCCTGGGGAGACCAGATATAGTGAATGCAGGGATCCTGGGGCAGACCAGATATAGTGAATGCAGGTCCGGGGAGACCAGATATAGTGAATGCAGGGTCCTGGAAGACCAGATATAGTGAATGCAGGGTTGGAGGAGACCAGATATAAGTGAATGCAGGGTTGATGGGAGACTAGATATGGGAATGTCAGGGTCCTGGAAGACAAGATATAGTGAATGCAGGTTTTGGGGGAGACCGGATATAGTGAATGCAGGGTCCTGGGGAGACCAGATATAGTGAATGCAGGGTCCGGGCAGACCAGATATAATAAATTCAGGGTCCGGGCAGACCAGATATAATAAATTCAGGGTCCGGGGAGACCAGATATAGTGAATGCAGGATCCGGGCAGACCAGATATATGAATGCAGGGTCCGGGGAGACCAGATATAGTGAATGCAGGGTCCTGGAAGACCAGATATAGTGAATGCAGGGTTCGAGGAGACCAGATATAATGAATGTAGGGTCCATGGGAGACCAGATATAGTGAATGCAGGGTCCTGGAAGACAAGATATAGTGAATGCAGGTTTCGGGGAGAACGGATATAGTGAATGCAGGGTCCTGGGGAGACCAGATATAGTGAATGCAGGGTCCTGGGGAGACCGGATATAGTGAATGCAGGGTCCGGGGGATCGGATATAGTGAATGCAGGGTCCGGGAGACCGGATATAGTGAATGCAGGGTCCGGGGAGACCGGATATAGTGAATGCAGGGTCCGGGGAGACCGGATATAGTGAATGCAGGGTCTGGGGTTTAGTAACACTTTCAGCTTAAACTTGAAAGCAATAATCATAGGTGGCACAGTTATTGTGTACATTTTTGTACTCAATATACATTGGTATCAATGATGGGAGAATCACATACTAATTACTAGTTGCTGACCTTTCATGTGACCAAGGAGTGCTGTATAGGTTTATGACACCATTTCACCATCTTTGTTTGCGTAGTTAGAAAATGGGTGAACCTTGATCTTCCTCTAATTACTATATATTTCCATCTAAAACTGACATTTTATGAGCAATTCTTTTATTAGAAATGAATAAACTATCACGTCCAAGAAAATCTATGGATGAATCAGCTACCCTTAATTGAAGGACACTGAGAAAGAGTACAATCGATTGTTTGCTTATTGTTCAGTGAACATTATTCAAAGTAATGTTACAGCTCGTGATGTTGAATGATTGCTGGTTGTAAAAACTTTGTTTTTAGTAGCCTAGTTTAGAAGATGGTACCATACATTACTTTTCATTGCCTGGAGATCTGTGCCGGTGGAGTTGGTACAGAACTGCTCGTGCTCTGAGAGACGGCCCTCTTCCTGTAACTCAAACTGTTCTCCTTCTAAACCTTATATTTACCCTCCCTTTTAACCCCAACTTCAACACTTATACTCCCTGTAATACTCAATTTTACCCCTTAGACGTAGACTGATTTTAAGCATTTTTTTAAAAAATAACAAAATTGTCCTACATGCCTGTTTTTTGTAATGGTTTTGCACAGAGCAGTCCCGATCCTTCTCTTTTTAGGTCCCCCACTGGTGCTCCTGGCCCCTTTCCCCACTGAGTTTCCACCATAGCAAGCTGCTTGCTATGGAGGCACCTGTCAGGAGCATGTAAATGCATGTAAATGCTCCTGTTTTTTGATAGCCACTGGTCGAATTCCAGCATCCTGGTTTTAGCTATGATGCATCCTTATCTGTCTGTCCACCTCTAAGGTGATTGATGTGACCAGTCTCTGGGTGGAGAACAGACCTGATTTAAGCCAGCCAAGCCTGTAGTCTCATATTTTTTATAGCACTGGTTACATGTGCCCAAGCTCTCTGTTTGTCTGTCCTGCACTACTGTCTGGATTCCCTAGCTGACAACCTCAGATCAAATATTGACTATTCTCTGAACTCTGCCTGCCTTTTGACCTGGACTGTCATTGTACTGCTCTGCCTGTCAAATTCCAGCATTCTGGTTTTAGCTATGATGCATCCTTGTCTGTCTGTCCACCTCTAAGGTGATTAATGTGGCCAGTCTCTGGGTGGAGAAAACAGACCTGATTTAAGCCAGCCAAGCCTGTAGTCTCATATTTGTGATAGCTCTGGTTACCTGGACTGTCATTGTGCTACTCTGCCTGTCTGCCAACCGCAAGTACCTGTTTGCTGTGCTCAGTTTGTGCCTGCCCTGGTGTGGTGGCCAGGCACTATAGCAATGTGTATAAGTCCTGGGGCAACTGAGTTCCGGTAGGTCTGTTTGCTTACGGGGAAGGGGGCTGCTATAGGTGAAGAACACAGAAGCTAGCTATAGTGCCCGACCACCTGTGTTAGGGTAAGTATGGCAGCACCCATGTGAGATTACTCCTGAACTTGGCTCCACCCCTCTCTCCCTCCTCACTAGCTGTGATTGACAGCAGTTTGAGCCAATGGCTTCCTCTTCTGTCTCTAAGCCAATGAGAAGTGAGGGAGTCAAGAAAGACGCTACTCTTGTGCATATCACTGGATCAGTGAGTATAAGGGGGGGGCTGGGGGGGTAGCTGCACTCAGAAAGCTTTTTACCTTTCATGCAGAGAATTACAACCACTTTAAAGTGTATTTCCTATTTCTCAGCCTAATTGAGATAACACCTACTTTATATTTGTTGCATGCCTCAATTCATATAGCATAAATCTTTAAAATCATATTTTAAAAATTGCAGCTTACCTTTGCAGATGCTGTAGTCTGGACCCTCCAGTAAGAAAGCAAAGTATTTCTCATTGTTTATTAATTAACTCAGAATTTTCTAGAATTCCAGAATTACCCTGTTTCTACTGTGCAGGCAGATTTTCATTATTAATTGTAACTATATTGAAAAACAGTCTGTCCCGGGGCGGACTGACCATTTGGAAACTCGGGCACCGGGGTCAGTAGGGGGCTCCATGAGATGCCCCTGGTACCTTTTTCATAGGCTTTTTTGAGTTTGGGCAAGGACACAGGGGCCCATGATCCCCTATTGCCCGGGGGCCCCATGAGTTGTCATTCCACCCCTGGTCTGTCCTAACAAAGGGTTAAAGGTGCAGTGGCTGAGCTTCTTGCATTGTTTGTTAATGAGGACAGATTTGGGACAGGCTCAAACATCTCAAGAAGCATCTAAAAGGTAAGAATTGTTTTTTAAGCATTCTGTGTGAATGGGAACACACACATACTGTATAAACATACAGTGGTCTTTTCTTAAATTTGACCGCAAAGAGGGAAATATGCTTCAGGACTACCTGTACTCATAACGAATCCAACTCTCAAACCTCACCCTCTCTCTGTAAACCATACGAACCCTACACCTCTCTGTAATCTCAACCTCTGTTACCCTAAACCTAACAATAACTCTCACACTAACCACCTAATTTCAAAGCTAACCCTCCCTGTAATCCCAAAACCAAGCCTAACACTAGACCTAACCTCAACCCTCCTTGTAATCCTAACACTAAGAATAATGCTAACCCTCAGTCCAAAACTCCTTGTATTTTCAACTTTAACTTTAACTCTTTCCATAAACACCAATGTAAACTTAAAGAGACCCTGTCACCATCTTAAAAGAAAAATGAAAACGCTTACTTAATTTTTTCTTTTCATAGTGTCGTGGTCAGGGGTTGGGCTTTCAAACCAGTAGCTATGGCAGTAGAGTGATTTCCACAGACTGGCAGGGTAGGTGTACAAGCAGGTCTCCCATGCGGATGATGGGAGCTCACCTGAGGTGCGTGCAGGGGCGGACCGACAACTCATAGGGCCCTGGGCAATAGGGGATCATCGGGCCCCTGTGTCCTTGCCCAAACTCAAAAAAGCTTATGAAAAAGGTACCAGGGGCATCTCATGGGGCCCCCTACTGACCCCGGGCCCTCGGGCAGTGCCTGAGTTTCCAAATGGTCAGTCTGCCCCTAGATGCGTGGTCTAAAAACCGGTGTTCACCAGAACTCCTGATGATGGAGATTTTGCTGCATGTTGGTAAGAGGTTGCAGTCCTCATCTCCACTAGGAGGTGAGCAAGGCAGAGTCCAGTAGCCGATATAGCAGGTAGAGATCAAGCAGAAGCATAGTCTGTAAACAAGGCAAAGGTCAGTAACAAGTGGTTGCAAGGTTGGGATTAAGCAAAAGCGTTGGAACAAGCCAAAAGCTGGTGACAAGTGGTGGCAGAGATATGATTGGCGGCAGGAATGACAAGAGCCAGATATTGGCTGGAGAGAGCACAATAATCTGACAAACAGGAAGTGCAGAGACATGGCTTAAATCAGGAAGTTCATGGGAGGAGCAAAGAGTTCAAGGTTCAGCAGAAAACAAGGAACGTGGCAGGACTGTCCAATGCATCATACAGGTTTCTGTCCAGCATTTCCTGGGTTCAAGCGCAGAGCCTGACACACAGACATAGTTTTATTGATTGGCAATGTAGCTCTGAACTTGATACTGGGCATTTTTACAGCATCTAATGGTCCTCACACTGACCACATTCTGGTTCCAGGTCTGTTCCAATCACTAAAAGCATTACAACCCTGATGAAGGGAAGACATTCCCCCGAAATGCGTTGGGTTTACCTATTACCAGTGAAATGTCAACTTCAAAAAACTCAGTAAACTTTTGTACTGAGTTTGCCTCTATACCAGTGTCAGGACAAAGTTATCTGATACCCAGTACTCTTTTCAAAATCAGCTTTTGCAATAAAAACCTCCAGCATCTGTGCCAGTTTCTACAATAAAATCCCCAGCATTGATGCCAGTTTACACAATAATAACCCTCAGCATAGATGGCAGTTTCTGTAATAATATTCCCAGCATCAGTTCTAGTTAATGCAATAATTATCTCAAGCATTGGTGTAAGTAGCAGCAATAATAAACCCAAGCACCAGTGACAGTTTCTGCAATAATAACCCTCAGCATTGGTGCCAGTTTAAGCAATAATAACCCCAGATCAGAGGACAGTTTCTGTAATACTAGCCCCTAGCATTGGTGCTAGTTTTACAATAATAACCACCAGCATTGGTATCAGTAGGAGCAATATGGCCCCTCAGCATTGGAGCCAGTTTCCACAATAATAATCCCCATCATTGGTGTCAGTTTCCACAATACTAACCCCCAGCATATATGGGAGTTTGTGTAAAACCTCCAGCATTGGTGTCAGTTTCTACAATAATAACCCCCCACCATTGGTGCCAATTTCTGAAATACTAACCCCCAGCTTTGGTGTATGTTTCTCTAATAATAACCCCCCGGCATTGGTATCAGTAGCAGCAATAATAACCCCCAGCACTGGTGCCACTTTTTGCAAAAATAATCCCCAGCATTGATGTCAGTTTCCACAATAATAACCTCCAGCATTAGTGTCATTTTCTGCAATAATAACCCCCAGCATTGGTGTCAGCAGCAGCAATAACAACCCCCAGCATTTGTGCTAGTTTTTTTGCAATAATAATCCCCAGCATTAACTCCCAGCATTGGTTCAGGTTCTGCAATAATAACCAATAGCATTAGTATCAGTAGCAGCAATAATAACCTACAGCACTGGTCCCAATTTCTGCAATAACAACCCCTAGCACTGGTATCAGTTTCCAAAACAATAATACTCTGCATTTGTGCCAGTTGCTGCACTAATAATCCCCAGCCTTGGTGTCAGTTTCTGTATTATAATGCCCTACAGCACTGGTGCCAGTTCCTGCAATAATAACTCCCAGTAATGGTGTCAGTGGCAGCAATAATAACCCCCAACATTGGTGTCAGTGGCAGCAATAATAACCCCCAGCATAGGT